AATACTTAGAAAATGTTATATAGGTCTGAAGCCATTGACTTACTGTATTCAAGGTCCATAAGCTGATAGTTGCAGCTGGGCCACTATCTTGTAGGATCAAAGTTCTACATGTTTTCTTTTCTGGAAAGGGGACCAATAGGAATTGGGCTTACTGCTTAGAAGTCAGGATTTACTGAGTCAAAAAATACTAATGTTAATCACTGCCTGGGACCCACAGCAAGCTGTACAATTTGAGAAGCTCAAGGATACAGATATGATATATGCAACCAGTCGACTGGATCTGCAATAATCCTAGTATCAACAGAAGTCTGGAACGTTAAAGGCTGATTATAAGACCTTGTTCTGTACTGGTGGCCCTGTGAAGAAGTGGCAACTGTGAAGCTGCAGTGTGATGTATATCTAGCTCCTAGTTCAGTTCAGAGGCGCTCTGGTGGCATAGTGCCTAAGACATTTGACTGCTAACTAGAAGGCTGGCGGTTCAAACCCACCAATCACTCCTCAGAAGGAAGATTGGGCAATCTACTTTCGTAGAGATACCACCTTGGAAACCTAAGGAGTGGTTGCTAAGAGTGGAAACTGACTCAACAGCAGTGAGTTTGGTATTTTTGGTTTGGTAATTCAGTTCAGAATACTTAATAGATACTCAAATATTTGTTGAACAAATGAATGGATATGTACAGAGGTAAACACACTCTTTCAAAATGAGTCTGCAAACCAAAATTCCAAAATATTTGAAGAAGTCTAATACTAAGATAAATTTGTGGAGTAATCTGAAATACGTTTTAAAATAAGTCTATTTAGGATCCTCAATTGAATACTATAACTTCCATTTAAACTGAGGAAGAAATAAAACAGGAAAGAAGCAAACAGCTGCATTTGAAAACTGTTAGAACCCTTGGAAATGAGAAACTATGATATAAAAAACACAATGGATGGCATGTATTCTAAACTGAAAACAAACAGAATTAGGGAACTAGAGGATAGAACTGTATAAAACATACAGGTTAAAATACATGTGCCTTCCTTACCTGCCTCCCCAAACAAAACAAAACAAAACCCATTGCTGTCAATTTGATTCCAAATCATAGTGACCCTATAGAACAGGGCAAAACTGCCCCATAGGGTTTCCAGGGCTATACATCTTTATGGAAGCAGACTGCCACATTTTTCTCCTATGGAGTGGCTAATGGGTTCAAACCACTGACTTTTCAGTGAGCAGCTGAATAAAGTCTCTGTATCAGGTAGGATAAACAAAGGTAAATGTATACCTAAATTGACACAGAGTTGCAGAACAGTGATAAAGCAAGTCAACAAGAAGACACATTACCTGCTAGTTGTTGTTGTTGTTATGTGCCGTCGAGTCAGCCCAACTCATGGTGACCCCTCCTTGGGTTACCGAGGCAGTATCGCTATGGAAGTAGATTGCCCAACTTTCCTTCTGAGGAGTGGCTGGTGGGTTTGAACCACCAGCTTTTTGGTTAGCAATCAAGTGCCTTAGGCACTATGTTACCAGAGCTCCTGCTAAGGAATGATAATTAGACTGACATCAAACTCATTACTTGTGACCATAGTTGCCAGAAAACAGTGGAGAATATGTATCTCCAGAGTGGTGGAGAAAAATAATTGTCACCCTATTCCTAGAAGGTTTTTTTTGTGTGTGTGTGTGTGTATGTGTGTGTGTGTGTGTGTGTGCGTGCACGCGCGCGCGCGCGCGGTTGTTGTTAGCTGGGAGCCCCCAACTCATGACGACCATATGCACAGCAGAACGACACATTGCCTGGTTCTGCACCATCCCCACAATCAATTGTGGTTCAGATTGACTATCGTGAGCCATAGGATTTTCACTGGCTGATTTTCAGAATTAGATCACTAAGCCTTTCTTCGTAGTCCATCATAAGCATTGTAGTAAAACACAGACCTCCACTGACAGACGGTAAGTGGCTGCACATGAAATATATTGGTTAGTAACTGAACCCAGGCTTCTACTTGGAAGGTGAGAATTCGACCACTGAACCATCAATGCCCCCATAGAGTTTTATGTGCAACTTAATTACCATTTAACATAAGGGAGATAGCCAGATCCTCTCAGAAATTCAAAGCATTTACCATTCATAAACTGTTTTGAAAGGATATACTTGACCAAGAAGAAACATAAACCCCCAAAAAGGGTGTTGCAGGTTGGTTCCCTGGAAAGCAGTCTTTTGAAACAGGGACAAGTGGGTAGGAAGTTATTTAGGTAGTGATCCTGGGATCAACAACCAGTGAGAAGAAGGAAACTGGATTGTGTAAGAATAGTTGGGCTGCAGTGCAGTCTGAGCAAAGGCCTCAGCTGACCTAGTCAGAGTTCTGAAGCTGGGATGGCCTTTCAGAGTTGACCTGTTTGGGAATGAGAGGTTTGAATTTTAATACCCCTTTGTTTGTTTTGTCGTTGGATATAAGTTGTCCCGGAAAGGCTAAGGTGGCTCTCTTCAACTGAGGCAGTTGTGAGGGGCCTGACAATTGAGGGTTGTCTGCTGGCAATAACTCCCAGCAGCAGGAGGTACAAGATCTTCCAAAGGGGAGATCTGTGTAGTATACAGTGTACACTACAAAATGTGTGAGATACTGAAATCTGTGATCTTAGAAATAGATGAATTACGTTCCCGATATTAATCTATTTTTTTATAGTAAAAAATGAATTAGAAGAGAGTAGTGATTAAGATATGGGCCAAGGGAGATCAGATAAATACAAATAAAATGAAAGTACTTCTGGCAACATTAATTAAAATTAAGGGGGAAAATATCAACAGGGCAGAGATGATATATTAATTTAAAAAAAAATAGTCTTTACTGAAGTTGTACTGTTGTAAACTTTTGTACCAAATAACTAAGCATTGAAATACAGAGTGTAAAAGTTTTAAAAAACTAAGAATAAATTGATAAAAGTCATTTATAATTTATCTTCCAGGATTCCTGGTTTCTCTTAGGTGATCTTTGTGTAAATACATGTACATATATATTTAGATAGATACAGTATTCAGTATATATGCATTTACACATACATATACTTTTATGTTTACACATATGTTTACGTAGTATGCCATAATTTATCTAGTCGGTTCTTGACAATTAACTTGTTTCTAATTTTTCACTAATGATTCTATAATAAATGCTAAGGATAAATTCTTAGATCGTTAGGGGCTGCTGTCAAGTTGGTTTCGACTCACAGCAACCCTGTGTGCAACAGAATGAAACAATGCCTGGTCCTGTGCTAGCTTCACACTCCTTACTGTGTTTAAGTTCATTGTTGCAGCCACTGTGTCAATACATCTTGTTGAAGGTCTTCCCCTTTTTCACTGACCTTCAACTTTACCAAGCTTAATACCTTTCTCCATGGCCTGGTCCCTCCTAATAACATGACCAAAGTACAAGAGACAAAAGTTTCACCATCTTTGCTTCTAATGAGCGTTTTGGTTGTACTTTTTCCATGACAGATTTGTTCTTTCTTCTGACAGTCCATGGTATATTCAATGTTCATTGCCAATACCATAATTCAGAGACATCAGTTCTTCTTCAGTCTTCCTTATTCATTGTCCAGCATTCCCATGCATATGAGGCAATTGAAAAGACCATGGCTTGGATCAGTTGTTCTTAGTCTTCAAAGTGACATCTTTGCTCTTTAACACTTTAAAGAAGTCTTTTACTGCAGATTTGCCCAGTGCAATATGTTGTTTAATTTCTTGACTTCTGCTTACCTGGGCATTGATTGTGGATCCAAGTAAAGTGAAATCCGTGGCAGCTTCAGTCTTAGATTATAGAATTTAAAAATTTTTTGTGTTCTTGTCTTTGGCAAGTCGTCTGTTTTGTTAGTTATTGTGTATCTGAAGGGAAAAAAAAACCCCTACTTGATTGTGTACAATGTTTTATTTGTGATAAGAAAAACACTTGGTAAATGAATCTCCATTTTAATAATTTTATTTTTATGTTATTTTAGCCTTACGAAGGATGAATCCAAAAGGCCAAAGTATAAAGAACTTCTGGTAAGTATGTTGTTGTTGTTGTTGTTATGTGCCGTCGAGTCAGACCCGACTCATAGCGACCCCTCCTTGGGTTTCCGAGGCAGTATCACTATGGAAGTAGATTGCCTCATCTTCCTTCCGAGGAATTTTAGATGGTTCCTCACCCCTGATTTCTCTTAGCATGTAGCTCACCGAGCCAGCAGTAGACTTCTCTGTCACAGATAAACAGCTTAACCTTAATGAATATAGATTTTTATGTTTTTAAACAAAGATATTTTGAAAGAGGAAATTATAGTAATACTTTTCCTACTAATTTACTAGTTGAATTCTCATAGAACATTTTGCCTTTGACATGTTATGGAAATTACCCCAAAGAGTCCCAGGATTACTTTAGGGAGCTGTTGGCTCAGTAGTTAAGTGTTTGGCTGCTAACTGAAAAGGCCAATGTTTTGAACCCACCAGTGGCTCCACAAGAGAAAAGACCTGGCAATCTGCTCCCATAAAGATTACCATCCTGGAAACTCTGTGGAGCAGTTCTCCTGTTTCTTATAGGGTCTCTGTGAGTCAGAATCAAAGGCACACAACGACATTTCCACTATATAGTCTGTATACATATAACACAGCTGTCAGAAAAAGTTTATTTATTGTGCTTAATTTGCCTTTGAAAATACTCTCATACAAGTTTACAGCATATGAACAGTTCCCATTTCTTTGAACCTTTCTGTCCATCCCATGGACGTTGGTTGTTTTAAGTAGTCCTTTGGATATGGCATTGGGTCTGGGCAGTGAAGAAAGTATGGTGATCTCATAATGGGGAGTATTTTAAGAAAAGACCCACTTGCTTGTCAGTCTTAGCTTCTAGTTCTCTGTAGATGTTAGATGAACTTTATGGTCAATTCCAGCACTGACTTTAAAGATAGCCAGTCAGCATATTTGAGATGCTATGAATGAAAAATATTGTTAAAGATGGAGTATAAAAAGGTATGTTTGCAAGGCTATGGGCTTTCGAGAGTATAGGGCAAAACCTCATAGATGTGTTTCTGTTTGGTGTTTTGGGGGTAGGGAACAGAAAAAGTAAAACTTGAAAACCTTTGTGTAAGACTCTTCTGCTGCAGATGAGGAAATGGAAGATTTATGCCTATATGCCAAGAGGAAGAACAACTGGTATTCATGTAGTAGTTCTTGGCTTTGAGATGGTGGTAGAGGTCCAGCTATGTTTTGTGCTGAGGAATATTCTGCTCTCCGTCTCAACAAATACTCCCTGGGTCTATACAGATAAGTTTTTAGACCTCACTGCTAGGGTGGTGCCTCCAAATCATAACACTGTGTCTCATACATCTAGGCTCGCCCACATCCAGTAACATGTCTGCATGAACTAAATGCTATATTTGCCTGTCTGAATTACGGTGCTACAAATTTTTTTACAGCCATATGTGATTGGGAGTCTTCAGTTCTATACTGTATAGAAATTGGGGAAAGTTAAGGGTGGGCTCTGATACTAGCTTTTCGTATTTTTTAAATCTGTCTTTATTTATTTTCCAATTTTCATGCAGAAACATCCCTTTATTTTGATGTATGAAGAACGTACCGTAGAGGTCGCATGCTATGTTTGTAAAATCCTGGATCAAATGCCAGCTACTCCCAGCTCTCCCATGTATGTCGATTGATATCGCTGCTACATCAGACTCTAGAAAAAAGGGCTGAGAAGAAGCAAGACATAAAGAGTTTTCATCCTGTATCACAGTGTTTTTATTGCTCGCCCAGACACCATGTGCAATAAGATTGGTGTTCGTTTCCATCATGTCTGTATACTCCTGTCACATAGAACATGCATCCCTGTAATACCTGATTGATCACACAGTGTTAGTGCTGGTCAGAGAGACCTCATCCTGCTCTTTTGTGATGAACATATTCATGAAATGTGGAAGTCAGTACGATCAATTTGTTGACTGTGATTAGATCACATCTTAAATTCATTTCTAGACTCAAAACCTGGAGACGCAGCTACTGGAATGGTATTTTGTCAGACTTCCAAATACTGGAAGAATGTGATGATGGATGTACTATGTCTGAACACAGAGACTGGGCCTTGAGTGAGAAGAGCTTGCATAGCCAATGAGACACATTGCCTTCTGGAGCTGGGAGACAAAGGAGGAATTTACTTTCTTCACCAAGTGCAATAGATTTACTGATTTGATACTCTGTTGCTTTACAGTCACAGTCGATGTTAGGGGATCGATGTGCTCAGCCAAATTTCCTGTTTGAAATATCATGTTAAATTAGAATGAATTTATCTTTACCAAAAACCATGTTGCGTTCAAAGAGGTGAACATTAAAATGTTGAGACAGGACAGAATGTGTTCTTTTCTCCTTTACCAGTCCTTCTACTCTTCATTGGGAAGACTCAGGAGTCTGCCACTTGTTAAAGAAGGTGCTGATCCTAAGAATTTCTCATTCTCAGAATTCAGTGTGCTGCCAACTTGATGTTCCACCTGCCACAAACCACCAGGACTGAAAGAAGAACAAGTACCGAGGGCAAAGTTTACAGATGTTTTTAATTCTAGTATCTTATTCCGAACAACTTGTAGCAGCTAAATATTTCCCCTTGGCCCCAAGCCTGATACTTTAGCCGTGGTAACTCGCTAACAGGGAGAAGTAGCTAGTAGCAATGTGCCTTGATTGATTAGATAAAGATTCTTGTAGGCAGCGAAAGACCAAATCTCAGTTGTTTGCTTCTTGCCATCACTGGTCCTGGTCTTCAGTTCCTGAATCTCTTTCCCTTCCCATGTGGTCTGTTGCCACTATGTGGCTTTTGCCTAATCCGATATTTCACCTTTTCCTATATAAAAAATCTTTATAATTACCAGATATATTCCTTACCAAGGATTTTTAGCCCCTAATATATGCTCTAATGTTTAAAAGGCTGAGAAAAGTGGGGCCCAGCTGATGTGGTGGGTGATGAAGTGGCATCTTTTCTAGAGATATATTTAACCAGATGAAGTAGCAGTCTTTTAGATCCTGCTACATTGTTTAGCAGGTCACCATCATTTCTTGGAATTGAGATTCTTATTAGGTACAAAAAAAGAGAGGCTCTCCTCCCCCCAAATAGGAGCTCTGGTGGCATAGTACCTAGGGTATTTGACTGCTAACCAGAAGGCTGGTGGTTCAAACCCACCAGCCACTCCTTGGAAGGAAGATTGGTCAGTCTACTTCCATAGCGATACTGCTTCAGAAACCCAAGGAGGGGTCGCTATGAATCAGATCTGATTTGGCGGCATTGAGTTCGGTTTTTTGGTTCCCCCCCAAATTGTCCTCTTTTACTGTGCTGCTTCATTTACCCACTAGCCATATTCTGTTTAGGTTTCCGTTCTGGCCTCCCAGACCCTGAACATTAGGCTTTTTATAAAGTTCAGCAGCACTGTGATGGTTCAAGCACACTGGAATATAAAGCAGCCATGGTCCGAGATGCAGGTGATGCTATTACAGAGCCAAACCGTGGTCTGTAGAGCTGTGTCTCCTCCCAGAGTGACAGTCATAAATACTATTAAACAATAAAGAGAGAATGGTGCTGTTTACATCCATGTAAATTTCAAAATTCAAAAGTGATTGATCTCTTTGGTCCACTTGCCTAATTTTCCTATTTCCCCCACTGCCCTTGGCATCCTAAACCTTAGAGTTCCCAGTGTTCTGAAAGGAGGCATTGCTGTATGTCCTCCTTCGACCACACCAAGCCATCATCCTCCATTGCTCCCGGGACTCAAGAGGAATTTGTTTCTCTGCTGTCAACTTCCCGTCTGGCTCAGCATAGGGTCACTTTGCCATTATGCAAATGGAGATAAAAGCAATTCTGACTGTCCAGGAGCTAATGTGACCATTCTATTGTGTGGATGACCACATAAAAAGGCAATTTTAGTGTATTAATCATAGATTATTATAAACTATAAACTTAAGGGCAAGGAGTTTATTACAATGTATCTTTATTAAAACAAAAGGGTGTATAGTGTTCACAAACTGTGAAAATAGTGTAAGAACTGTACATTGTGAGCTCTGGTTATTTTTCTCTTGTACCATAGAAAAAAAATGTATAAAAATTATCAAAAAGCTAATGTGCAGGGATATTGCCTTATTTGTCTGTAAAAATGGAGCTCAGTAACATAACTGCTTATTGGAGCTTTGGAATATTTTATCCTGTATTCTTGTTTGAATTTCTCCTCTATTTAAGATATATACGTGGAATCGAAGTGTTTATGTAATAGTTCTATCCTTTTGCCTGCAGGTCAGTTGTAATAAATCTAGGATGTGATGATGACTTTGTAATTTGATTTTCTGAAGTCAGACCCTAAGAGGGGAAAATCATGTAAATCCAATTAAATTATCTGTGCGTTTCACATTGGGAAAAATTCTCTCCTTCCGGAAGTGTTTATGGCTTGTTTTCATTTTCACCTCTCTTCTCATGATTGTAGTATCTGTTTGCTTATTCTTTTTGAAACAACAGAAGTAGCCGTGAAGCATCAGCTCTGCGTTCTGTCTTGGGCAGGTGTGATGCAGAGTCTCTTCACATTTGTGTCTTTGTTGGTTGCCCTGATCTGTCCCAGCTTTCTTAATTGGAAAAGTGGAGGGCGCTGCACTTTGACCTGACTCACGGTGGAAAGACACAACTTGTAAGAGACCATTTGTCCCTTGGCCCCATGTGTGGCTGTCAGCCATGCTTTCTACTTGTGCTGGGGTTCATGGCTGCCAAGTGAGCATTAGATGTCATTTTGGGTTGTGATCACTCACTGATCCACAAGAGAGATGTATGGAGATTTGTGGGTATTAGACCTATGGCAGTCAGACCTGGGAAGTTTATGGATGAGAGGACAATGGAAGTAAACAAGAAGTCATGGAAGTGTGGAAACTACTGGGGAGAAGAACTTTGAAGCTCCACTCTTGAATTTATCTGCTGTACCTGTTGGTCATTAATTGAATGAATACTAGTTCAGAACTGTACCCTTTTCCTGTGCTAGCTCCTAACCTCATCTGAAATGTAGGAGATGCCGTTACAGAACCAGATGTGGTAAGTGTAAACATTCTCCAGAGAAAGGTGTGGCTGTAGGAATTCTGGCCTCTCCAGCCACCCTAGGGGCTAAAGGAAAGGATACCCCGTGGAGCTCATAGATCCCAGCTGAGCACCAACTATGTGTAAGACAAATGTCATGAGATAGATAGACTGTGCACTACGTGCTTCATAGATACTATGTTGTATTTGTTCATCTTATTTGATCTGGATGACAGCATACCAAAGTCAGGTGGAAGTATACACTTTTAGATAGGAGAAGGCTCAGAGAAGTGAGGTTCTGGCCTAGATAGGTAGTAGGTGGCAGGACTGAGATTCACATCCAAGCCTGTAACACTTTCCATAAGAAATTACATTAGTTTTAAAAATAAAAACCTGCCATTATGTGGAGAGAAAGAAAAATGAATTACAGATTGGGGATACTCTTAACATTAAATCTTACTGGATCCTGCTTTGTCTTGGAAATAATTTGAGATCAGAGGCTTAGTGTCCATCCAAAATAAGCTGTGTAGAGAGTAGTTAGCTTAGAAGTAACCAGAGAAGGTCCAGGTCCTAATTCTTAAGAATAATAACCTTAGAGGTCAGTCAAGAGGCTCAGCTGTCTTCTCTTAACATGATAATTACAGTGGGAATAGGGTAGGAAAGAAATACCAGGCTCTTGTGATTAAAATGTCCTTTGATTTATTCCACCCATCTGTCTTATCTGCAGAAGGATAGAGTAAAGCATGTATATCTTGAAAGCTACTCTGGCACTGACTGCCTTGTCTTGGTGGTCCAGAGAAGTTTCATACCCCCAGCTCTTGGCCCTGGTTGTATGTACCGGTTACATTCACAGCATCTGTGCTTATACTTAGGACAGAAAATCTTAAGGACTTTTGAATTTGTTGACTCCCTTAAATAGCCTTATTAAGTGGTTGAGGAGAAATCTCAATTGGTAATAGTAACTCTTAGGAAGCACTGTAAGAACCACATGTAATGGACAGTTGATATTAGGCTGTGTTATATAAGGAATACCTTAAGTGTGTGAGCATCAGATTCTATCTGCTGAGAATTTCCTATAGACTGAAGTGATGCATTTCTTGGTCCTTCCCATCTTTTGGGTGTTTGCATCTCAAACTTTGAAACCATCAGTATCTGTTTTGGGATAACATTTTTATTTTTATAATGATATGCCAACATGTGTTTCTCTTTAAATGTGAAATATGATCCTGCTATATAAAGTTGTCAACCCATATAAAATAGCTTATAGTCACAAGTAATCATAATGTGTAATGAATAATCTAAAATTCTAACAGGACTTTTAGTTTTCCATAGCACTTATACACAGATTTAATGTGAATTTTTTTTTTTTTTTTTTTTGCTGTAGATAGGGAGAGTGTTGTTGCCTCAGTCCTACACCCAGGTACCAGAATAGGTCCTATCAAGTCGAATCTGACTCATGGTGACCTTATGTGTGTTAGAATGTTGTTGTTTATTGTTATGTGCCATCAAGTTGGTCCCGACTCATAACGACCTCTCCTTGAGTTTCTGAGGCGGTATCACTACAGAAATAGATTGTCCAACCTTCCTTCTGAGGAGTGGCTGGTGGGTTTGAACAGCCAGCCTTCTGGTTAGCAGTCAATGCCTTAGCCACTACGCTACCAGAGCTCCTAGTGTGTTAGAATAGAACTGTGTTACTTAGGGTTTTCATACACTGATTTT